ATTTAAAAATAGTCATATCCCAGAGTAGAAGAGAATGTAATAAAAATCAACAAAGATATAATTTGTTTTCCTATTAATTTCCATTTAATTTTTCGACCGTTCCTATGGCAGCTATATGATATAGTGATCCGATTTAAAAAACAAAAAAACCGAAATTCAGAAATATATAAAAAAAAATATTCAAAATAAAAATAAAATTTCAAAAAACACCGGAGCTAGAATTTTTTTACGTTTTTTATACCCTTGCAGAGGGTATTATGATTTCAGTCAGAAGTTTGCAACGCAGTAAAGGAGACGTTTCCGACCCCATAAAGTATATATATTCTTGATCAGCATCACAAGACGAGTCGATCTAGCCATGTCCGTCTGTCCGTCTGTCTGTCCGTCCGTATCTACGCAAACTAGTCTCTCAGTTTTAAAGCTATCGGGATGAAACTTTCGTGAAAGTCGTATTTCTATTGCAGGTAGTATATATGTCGGAACCAACCGGATCGGACAACTATATCTTATAGCTCCCATAGGAAGGATCAAAAAACAAGAAAGGAAGCTAGCTTCGGCCAGCCGAAGCTTATATACCCTTGCAGATCATTCCTATTAATTAACAAATCGCATAAATGTTCAATTTTCTAATATTTCTCATTAATTTTCTGATCGTTCCTGAATCACAAAATTTTAGAAAGTGTATTTAATTTTAGAAGTATATTTCAGCGGTTAAGAGTTTCACTATTCGAAGAAGAGAAGCTGTTAGAGTTAATTCTTAATGACAGTGGTTGACAATCAGCTGCGTTTGCCTATGCGGTTATTTCACGACTTTGTTCGGCTCATTCATTAGATGAATCTTTCCCAGCTGTACTATTTTACGTAGGTGCGAGCAAGACAGGCATATGTCAGCTGTAATGAGCAAAGTGTAAAAATCGATAGGCACTTCTGGTATTTCTTGGTATTTTTAAATACCTCCGCACGGTTCTACCTGGACAGATGACCATTGATCTAAAGTTTAGATTCTAAACTTAATCTAAAAAGTAAAATTTTGCTCATTCGTTAGAGGTACAGTGAAATGCGGATCAATTATAAACATTAATTTTATGATTTTTGGGTAAATGTTCAAGCTTTTGGTGACCAATTAGGTACTGTAAACAACAAAGAACAATAAAAACAATATATTTAAGCGGCCTTATTACTCCGTCGCAAACTTTAAACAAGAGAGAACGCTATAATCGGGTACCCCGACTATCAGATACCTGTTACACAGCTAAGGATATGGTAAATGGTGGTATCGACTGTCCTGAGCTACTCTCGAAAGTTGTTTTAGCGCTCCTTCTAGGCAACTTCGGAATTTCGATTCCTTTTTTCTTGAGCTGGGGCGGACTAATTATTCCCAAAATGAGCCTCTCTATAGGGCTTTATCTGAGTTCAACGCACTTCCAGCTGATATGCAAAGAAAGAAAACCATTTGTAAACATAGGGTAATTAATTATTTTGTAAATGTTAGTACGTAGTATAAATTTTTGGATTGTATAAGTAGCCAGTTAAGGTATATCCGTTGGCGAAATAAATAAATATAATATATAGCTGAGAACGCGTAAATCATTTTAACGAATGGTCCGATTTGGTCAGATAGCTGACATATATATTTATCAGGGTTCGGAAAATAACACACAAAGTACTGTACAAATGTATAATAATTGAAACTATATACGCACAGTATACTTGTGTATTATATTTATTCGTAGAACACTATCACATAGAGACTTTATCATACAATATCAGCATTCCCAATGGCGCTAAATATTTACTTTTATAATTGCATCACCAATTGCGCTTTATCATAAAAGATAAAAAGCCGCGATTTCTTTATGCGGTTATTCCACGATATTGTTCGGCTCATTTATTAGAGCATTCATTAGAGGGACAAATATATTTACATTTACTGGGATTTCTTCGGATAAGATGGCATGGTCACTTAGAACTTAAACGTTAAATTAGTCAAATCATTAAGGTTAAAAACTGTAAAATTGTTGAAAATTCAACAGAAAATTTCAGCAATTAAAGGAATTACCCAAAATGGGTTCTGTTGAATTTTCAAACAGCTGTTATTTGTTAAAAAGTTTCCCAGAACTAAAAACATGTAAAATTTGATTTGTTATTGCTGGCTACTGTCTAAAATGGTTACTAAGCTAAAAAGAACCACAAAAATGCTTTCTAAGTTGATTTTTAAATAAATAATGCGTACTGGTGATACTAAAATGTTACAGATTTGCCATGACTTTTAATAAAGAAGGTGACAACTCTGGCTTTTCAGCAATTAAACAAAATTTTCAACAGCCTCGAGGCTGTTGAATTGCTGAAATTTCTGAAAGTTGACTTTGTATGGAACAGCTGACTAACAGCTGACCAAAATTCAACAATTCAGCAATTCAACAGTTTAGGGAATACCCAGATTGTGTATTGCCATGAAATTAAACATTTTTAACACGTTTTTAAAATGTTTTGGGTTGTTCAAAGTACATATGTAATTGTTTTTAATTTTATCATATCCGGCAATAATTTTTAGAAAGGCTACTTTATATAAATTTTAATACGTAATAATGTCTTAATTTTGAAGTGAAAAATAACGCTTATTTTTGGTTCGCAACGGACTAATTAGGCCGATGAAATTATAATTGTATTGTTCTTATTAGTTTATAGCACCTAATTCATCAAAAAAATATTTTGAAAATTTTGAAAAACTCTTATGAATGATTCGAACAATGTAGAGGAGGAATAATCGCATTAGGAGATATGGTTATATTTATAATAGCATCATGGGAAATAGTTAATGATTATTCTCTGTTAAGTATGAACGAAACAGAAATAAATACATGTCAGAATAAAGTACATGTATTTTTCTCGTTTCTTTTATTTAAATGGAATACTATATTTTATTACACACATGTATAATGCACAAGATATAGTTAGAAATTTTCATGTACTATACATATGTATTCTTTTCCAAACCCGCAAGTTTATTTTAGCCGAGCGCCACGCCCCCTCTAACTCCCACAATCGCCCACTAACGATTTTAAAATATGTCTGGCGCCCACACCTTTCTCTGCAAATTTGCCAATTATTTATAAGTATACATTTATTTAGGTTAAGTTATGTATAATCCACAAAAACATATCTTATTGTTCTCAAGAACTCGCGGTTTTTGAAAAATCGATGTAGAATATATCTTTAGGTTTCTTTGGTTATGTTATGTATACTTATAAATGTATGTTTACTTATAAATAATTCGCAAATTTGCGGCTTTCATTTTTGTATTAGTTTATGCAAAAAGAGACGGAGGGACAAGTACATTTAGACTGGGCTATTTAATTTTATCATTTCGATTTTCTGAAAAAAAAGGTTTATCACATTTTTCCATTTGCCGAGCCAAACTAAGTATGTGGTATTTTTCCCATATTTTTTTAGACGCTGTTTGGGCCTTCAATTTTTTTAAACTCATAACACTTATTTGCAGTCCCTGTTTCCTATATAAAGTCAATCAAAAACACATCCTATCGAGGAAAATGTTTGGGACGATCGCACCTTCAATATAAACAATAAAGGAAGCTACCTTCGGCTAGCCGAAGCTTATATACCCTTGCAGATAAAGTAATGCTCACTCGGTGCAGTTCCAGGGATTCCAGATTTAGCGTTTCTCTTTACATTTTGTTTTTAAGTAGTCAAGAATCAAAACGCCTACTTCCCACAAAGTTACAATGAATTTTCTTATATTTGTTTGAATAATCCTATGGGAGCCTTAAGATATAGTGGTCCGATCCGGCTCGCTCCGACGTATGTACTACCTGCAATAGAAAGAAGACTTTCGGGAAAGTTTCATCGCGATAGCTTTAAAACTGAGAGACTAGTTCGCATAGAAACGGACAGACGGACATGACTAGATGGACTCGGCTATTGGTGCTGATCAAGAATATATATACTTTATGTTGTCGGAAACGTCTCCTTCACTGCGTTGCAAACATCTGACTGAAATTATAATACCCTCTACAAGGGTATAAAAATGGAAGGCAAACTGAAGATTCTGAATCCTTGCATTTTTACATATATTTTTTTTTGGGTGAATTCGACTTTAAAAACAAAATTATGCTTAGACAACAGTCATAATTTTTCACTTAAAAAAACGCGAATTGTTCAACCAGTTAAAATTGCGAGACTATGCATATAGGCTTCGCACAAAATAAATAACAGAGATGTTTTTATTGATGGTGACCAAGAATACCCTCTGCAAGGGTATAATTAAGAAATCCGACGAGCTCTATACAAATACATGTATATACCTGTGTATATATATAGGTATACATATATGTAATCAATGGCAGAGCAGAGTGAGAAAAGAAATAACAAGTGAGAGGTAAAATGTAGTGAGAGAAAAGGACTGTAAGCGTCTGTGAGCGTAAGTGTGGTTCGTTGTTTCAATGGATGTATGTAGGCGCGGCTAATCACTTGTACGCTTTCTGCATAACAAAAATTGTTGTGTGGTGACATCAAGGCCAAAAATGTACTTGTCTCTTAAGATAAACAAACTTGTAAAAGAGAAGCGTAAGTGTCGCTTTATCGTCCGCGTGTTAAACAGAAGTAGGCTTTAAATCTAGGAAACTTTTGGAACTAAAAAAAAATAAAAAAACCATAGTTCTAGTTTAAGAAGCGGAAGAGAAATGGCCTTTAGTATACAAAAGCTGGAAAATAGCTAAATTGTCAACACTGCACCCAAAATGTATCTTTCCCCATGTGTATGTGTTGTGTAGCCATCTTCGATCTGCCCGCCTTCGTCGACTGTTCGTGATCTGTAGGTACACACAGACATTGGGTTGCACTTGTTACTGTATTGTAGTTATGATTGTGTTTGTCTTCACTACGTATCTATGTTAGCATCTGTACCAGTATTTGTGCTCGGACAAAGATATTTGTGAGAGGAGAGGAGATCCGAACTGCTCCATCTAAACAAACGAAGCATTGCAAGAGCTAGTGTTAATATCGCTCAGTCCACTCGTAAGAAACACAGCATTAAGACGCAGCATACACACGTTATTGACTTTGTCATACATAATTTCTTTTTATTATTCGCTACTTGAAATTTAGTGATAAATAAATAAATTCGCGACATTCTTTCTTACTGTGAAATTTAATGATATAATTTGGGATTGAGAAAGTTAAATAGTAACAGTAATAAGTTTACGCAGTTAAAACTAGAAACTTTACAATTTAAAATGCAAATACTAAATCCTGCTTTTCAAAAGTAATGGCTCAAATTAACATTAAAAGGGGAAACTCATTGATAATATAAAGAATATTTGTGACAGTGCTATTAAACGTGCCTCTAAAAATGTTCGATTTGCCGACGGTGAATACAAAATAAATGGATTTCAGTGACTCGTAATCGGCATTCAATAATTGGTGACAAACTCTAAAAAAATGGACGCCTACGCTCTACCAACATATTTTCCACTTGCGTAAGTCTTTATTTTATATTTTTCAAATATTGCTCATGATCTATAGGATAATAAAAAGATCTCAACTTGTATAATTTTAAAACACAACGAAGTTCCTGCATCCTCGCACATGTCTTAGATGGAAAGCTACTTGTTACGAGGTTTTGATTTTATCGTTGGTGTATGTATGTATTTCAAATGAAAAATTTAGGGTATATTGTATTCAGGGCTGTGAACCCATATTATTTTTGCATGGGTTCGGTTCGGGGTTCAAACCTAATCCGGTTTGCGAACCGGTTCAATGATGAGCCGGAGCAGGGTTCAGGTTCAAACCAGGGTTCAAAAATTTTTTTTTTTAATGAAATAATAAAGTCAACATTTATTTCCATGTATTTTCATTGAAATATGTACCATAACATTATGACTTATAAGTAAAGTTACTAGATTTATGATTTATAAAGTGTTTACCAGTTAAGGCAAAGAGTATACTCTTTGCTTTAATCATGTAATTTTAATGTGGGCATACTGCGAAAAGTTTTGGAAGATGATAGTTATATTTATATATTATTAGATTGTTTGAGTTAGATGCAGTCATTGCATAGCCAAAAAAATTTGGGCATTTTTATTTCCCTTAGTAAATAAACTCTATGTTAATATGATCAGAAAACCCCCCACACTGTTGAATAAAAAACACGAACACACAAAATAAATTTTTCGTGAACCGAACCGAATATACAAAAAACAAGAGTGAACGCTATAGTCGAGTGCCTCGACTATTAGATACCCGCTACTCAGCTAAACAACTTAATCGAAATCTTATATGTTCCTATATGTTATGTTATTCTTATATGTTTTTCGCCGCTCGATTTTTACCCAGGGATCTCTTTCTAGCAGAGGCTTTCTAGAACTTTCAATTCTGCCTAGCACATTCCGTCTCTCTCTAGCGCAGGTGAATGCACTTGAAAAAAACTTTTACGAGCAAAAAGAGACAAAATGCGCGCCCCATTTAAAATAATTTAAAATTAAAATTGAAATTGAATTAGAGTGACCACAGAAAAAAAGGAAGATTTTTTCCAATGCCATTTCCTAGATGGCGCTAGTGTATATTGTATTGCGCCACCTACCGCCAGATATTGGTACTACTGGTCATGAAAGGCGGAAATGTAGGCGCTGGCCAGGTTTAAGCGTTTATTGGGTTTGTGGGCGTTAGAGTGGGCGTGGCAATTTTTTACTTGGCCAATCGATAGGTATTGACGAAGCGAATATATATTAGTTTCTATTTTCATTATAGCTTTAAAACTGTGGGCGTTAGAGGGGGCGTGGCACCTTTTTGAAACAAACTTGCGCTGCGTAGGAGCTCCTAGAATATTCCTGCAAAATTCCAATCTTCTAGCTTTTATAGTTTCCGAGATCTCAGCGTTCATACGGACAGACAGACAGACAGACAGACAGACAGACAGACAGACAGACAGACAGACAGACAGACAGACAGACGGACGGACAGACAGACGGACAGGGCTAGATCGACTCGGCTAGTGATCCTGATCAAGAATATATATACTTTATGGGGTCGGAAACGCTTCCTTCTAGCTGTTACATACTTTTGCACGAATCACGAATCAAAGTTTGATATCTCCATCTCCCTCGCACTCCCTTAAGCTGAGTATAGCGTTCTCTTTTGTTCAATATATATTTTGGACTAGGTGTAAGATTTCTTTTAGATTTCAGGATTCATTTGAAGTTATAAAGTATAAATACAAGAAATTTAATATCTTGTAAAGCAACTTTACCCTATTGTAAGTAATTACATGTTTACTCTTTTTATACCCTTGCAGACCCTTGCAGATACCTTTGATTTCAGTCAGAAGTTTGCAACGCAGTGAAGGAAACGTTTCCGACCCCATAAAGTATATATATTCTTGATCAGCATCACTAGACGAGTCGAGTCTAGCTGTGTCCGTCTGTCTGCCCGTTTCTACGCAAACTAGTCTCTCAGTTTTGAAGCTATCGGCTTAAAACTTTCCCAAAAGTCTTCTTTCTATTGCATGTAGTATATAAGTCGGAACCGACCGGATCGGACAACTACATATATCCTATAGCTCCCAAAGGAAGGATCGGAAAAAACGTTAAAAAATTCTACCTTCGGTGTTTTTTTTAAATATTACCTTCTACTCTTGGGGATATTGTTTTTATAATATTTCTGAATTAAAAAAAAAATATTTAAAAAATCGGGCGACTATATCATATAGCTGCCATAGGAACGATCGGAAAACTAATGGGAAAGTAATAAGAAATACATTTAAGCTTCCTTGGTTTTTATTTTATTCCCTTCTACTCTAGGGTATGACTTTTTAGATATTTCCGAATTTCAATTTTAATTTTATCAAAATTGGACGACTATATCATATAGCTGCCATGGGAAAGATCGAAAAATGAATGGGAAATTAATTGGAAACAAATTATAGCTCCGTTGGTTTTTATTGTATTCTATACAAAATAATGCCAAAATAATACGAAATTTAAAATTTTTGCGATTTGTAAGTTAATAGGAATGATCTGCAAGGGTATATAAGCTTCGGCTGGCCGAAGCTAGCTTCCTTTCTTGTTTTTACAATGTCAAAAATCAAAACGCCTACTTTTTACAAAGTTACAATGTTTTTTTTTTATCATTTTTTTGATTATTCCTATGGGAGCCAGAAGATATTTAAATAGTTTTAATGAACACTTTTTTTGCACCACCATTTAGGTAAAAAATAAAAAAGAAGAAAAAATGCGCCGCAGTCAAAAAATTTTAGGAAAAAATCGCGCGATTTGTTCTTTATTTTTTTTTTGATTGCGGCGCAGTCTTCTTTGTTTAGTATTAAACAAGTAGATGTTGCTGAATAAGGATTGTTGTGTCGCTGAGAAAAACAAATTCAATCGTGTTGTTTGGTTTTGGGTGGCAAAGACTTAAAGAAAGGTTAAACAATAGAGAACGCTACAGTCGGGTTGGTGTCCCGACTAGCTAAGAGCCGTCACTCAGCTAAAGGGAGTGCGATCGCTGTACTCGGGTTGGGGTCCCGACTATCTAATAATCGTAACTCAGTTAAAAGGGAGTGCGAGGGAGATAGATATAAAAACAATTTGGATTGCGTATAACTTTTTAATGAATGGTCCGATTTGAAAAATGTCTTCTACATTTCTATAGGTATAAATATACACAACAATATTGCAAATCTTTAAAGATGTGGGCGCAGGACACATTTTAAAATCGTTAGTGGGCGATTGTGGGCGTTAGATGGGGCGTGGCCCTCGGCTACAATAAACTTGCACTTCTTGGGCCTCGAATATGTCTGGAAAACCTCAACCTTCTAGCTTTTGTAGTTTCCGAGATCTTAGCGTTCATACGGACAGACAGACAGACAGACGGACATGGCTAGATCGACTCGGCTGTGACCCTGATCAAGAATATATATACTTTATAGGGTCGGAAACGCTTTCTTCTCCCTGTTACATACTTTTGCACGAATACAATATACCCTTTTACTCTACGAGTAACGGGTATAAAAATAAAAACCAAACCTTATATTTCAATTCTCTATCGAAAGTAAAAGTTTCGATTGATTCTTAGATTTGACCCAAATTGGTTGTCACGTTTCACGTGGAATGAGCCTTGTGCGTTTTTCTCGAAACCATGTTTTTCTCAGCTGCGGATCGTGTATCTCAAAAAGTAATCATAATGCTGCTTTTGCAGAAATGTTTGTAATGAAATTGCCCACTGTCTGAACATACTTTATGTCAAAGTTGGTACGTTTGAGTATTTTTTGTTAAGCAAAAACAACAAAAAACAAGAAAGGAAGCTAGCTTCGGCCAGCCGAAGCTTATATACCCTTGCAGATCATTCCTATTAATTAACAAATCGCAAAAATGTTCAATTTTCTAATATTTTTCATTAATTTTCCGATCGTTCCTATGGCAGCTATTTGATATAGTCGTCCGATTTTGATCAAATTAAAATTGAAATTCGGAAATATTTAAAAAGAGTCATATCCTAGAGTAGAAGATAATACAATAAAAATCAAAGAAGCTTGAATTTATTTCCTATTACTTTTCTATTAATTTTCCGATCGTTCCTATGGCAGCTATATGATATAGTAGTCCGATTTTTTAAATAATTAATTCGAAATTCAGAAATATTTAAAAAATAACATCCCCAAAAGTAGAAGGAAATATTTCAAAAAACACCGAAGCTAGAATTTTTTAAAGTTTTTTTTTCCGATTGTTCCTATGGGAGCTATAAGATATAGTTGTCCGATCCGGTCGGCTCCGACATATATACTACCTGCAATAGAAATAAGACTTTTGCGAAAGTTTTGTCCCGATAGCTCAAAAACTGAGAGACTAGTTTGCGTAGAAACAGACAGACGGACAGACGGACGGACAGACGGACAGACGGACATGGCTAGATCGACTCGTCTTGTGATGCTGATCAAGAATATATATACTTTATGGGGTCGGAAACGCTTCCTTCTAGCTGTTACATACTTTTGCACGAATCTTGTATACCCTTTTACTCTACGAGTAACGGGTATAAAAATGTCCCTTATTCAAATACAATTCACACATTATTTTGAGCGTTATCGTTATTTTTATGGTCTATAAAATTTCGTTTTTTTTTTATTTCCTAAGCAAAAAAGACAAGAGTCAAGAAATGTGAGAATAAAATGATTAATATTTCCTAAAAAGAAAGAAAACGAAAACAAGAATGTAGAAAATAACATTATCAGGGGTGTCACAAAATCCGTCGACGGATTTGTAAGTTTTAAATTTAATTTGTTTTTCTTGCAAAATTACAAAAAGAATATATGTTTAAAGCGCATATTGTACATAATAAAAGAAAAAAATTAAAAATTTGAATTACCCGCCAGGCTACATATTGCAGCCCTGAGCAGCGGTTTGCCGCGCCTGCGTTGGCTTATTTTTATTTCTAAGTTGGCAAGAATTTTAAAAGCGAACCAAAATGCCGTCTACTCTATAGTACT